GAGTAAACAGTCCATGGTTTGAGTTTTACATCAGCTGTCCTCAGTTATCACCTGAGGACAGTTCACCACACAGCAGCAGAGATCAGTCAGACACTTGTGACAGTGAGATGATTCATGATGACAAGTGTCCCTTAGGCTCAGTTTTACATTTACATTGACCTCAGTTTCCATAAGACTTTGTTCTCCAGAAATCTTCTCGGATTAAGTTCAAAGTCTTTATTACATTACAAATAGTACATGAGGAAGTGTGATGACTGGAGAACATCAGCAGAAATCTGGTTCAGATACAGGGATCCTAAATCCACTGAAGGAGCCGATACCTTTCAGCAGTGTGTAAACAAATCATTGAGTTTCAGGTGTGTTAGTGCTGATCAGCTGCCCTGTGTTTGCAGAGGTGCAGCCAGGGAACCTGAACCAGGAGAACCTCCAGGCTCGAGACCCTGTGGACCTGAACCACACTAAACCTGTACTCGTTGACAGTGGTGCTTCCTGCTTGCCTTCACCTCACTCCCACTCCCCCACTGACAACCTGCACATCTCACCAAGCAGCTCAGTCGTCTGCAGTGATGGTGATCCAGACAGCGACTGGGCTGAGCAGAGTCTGACTGTCAGACCTCCAAGTAAAAAGAAAAGAGGTCGTCCGGCGCTTGGTGTCAGACGGAAACGGAAACGGATGACTCCAGCTCAGAGTTTCAGCTGTTACGTGTGTACACGCTCTCTGCAGGGAAAAGGCTTCTTGCTCAAACACGTCCTGCAGGTCTGCGCCAAAAACCCAGACCATCGCTGTGGTTTCTGTGCCGAATGTCTAGGCTCAGCTGATGACCTGACGGCTCACTTACAAATGCACCAGGAGAGGAGTAAAACCTGTTCCTTCTGCGGGAAAATTTTCCAGTCAATCCTGGCACATGAGCTCCACGTCCGGCTGCACACTGGAGAGAAGCCATACAGCTGTGACGTCTGTGGCAAGAAGTTCAGCCAGAAGGGAAACCTAACGTCCCACATGCATGTCCACGCCACAGAGAAACCCTTCAAATGTAAAGAGTGTAGTCGGGCCTTCTGCCACCTGACGTCTTTAGAGCGACATATGCAGGAGCACAGTGGCTCTGTGGTTCACACCTGCAGTTTCTGCAGCCAGGAGTTCAAGAAGGGACACAGCTTGCGACGACACATGGAGACTCATCAGAAGGACACTACCCACAAGCCGAAGAGATACCGCAGCTCGGTGGCATCCTATATCTGCAAAGTGTGCGGAGACACATTTGACAGGAAATCCTTCCTAGTGAAGCACGTGGAGACTCACCTGCAGGGCCCAGACTGCTGCTGTGGACTCTGTGGACACCAGTGCGAGTCTGCTGCAATCCTCGCCGATCACCTGCGCTCCCATCGTGGGGTAAGCAATACCTGTGACATCTGCGGGAAGTGCTTCCCAGCTCATGCAGCGCTGCTGATGCACCTGAGGATCCACACAGGAGAAAAACCATACACCTGCAAGTTCTGTGGAAAGGCCTTCAACCAGAGTGGCAACCTGAAGACGCACCTGAAGATCCACACAGGTGAGAGAGCATTCTCCTGCAGCATCTGTGGGAAGGGCTTCACCCAGAAACAAACTCTGGACACTCATGTCCGCTTCCACAACAAGGAGAGACGCTTCTTGTGCCAGGTCTGCGGGAAAGGCTTCATGCAGGACGTGGACTTGAAGAGACACATACTGATCCACACTGGAGAGAAACCATACAGCTGCAGGGTCTGTGGCAAGAGCTTTCAGGCCAAACGGTCGCTCAACGGACACTTCAAAGTCCACACAGCAGAGGAGGACGAGGCTCAACCGGAGCCGGATCAGGACTCACAGCAGCGGAGGACGGACAGTTTCTACTCAAGATTTGCCCAGCTGTAGACGACAGGTCTTCTGGTTCTGCGCGGTCGACACTGTTGACTCATAGAGTCAGACTCGGAGCAACAAGTTCCAGACTAACTTCTCTGTCAGTAACAAAGTTCTGGTACCAGGTAACGCTGGATCAAGTGAGACCTCAGGACTGTTGTGCTTTAGATTGGAGTCTGTCAGGTACTGAGAGGTGGCAGCAAATCTCTGCTCAGGTGCGACGGGTCCAACACCTGAGCTGGAGCAATTAGCTGATGAACCACCGCTGTTGTTTGAGTGAAAAAGTGAATATTTAACTGTATAATAACTGAATATTTTAAAGCTCTGGGCTGTGATGTCACCACGTGAGTGCCATAGTTTCCATCATTTTTAACCTTTCATAATTTAAATGATTCACTGAGAAATGAATCAGCAGAAGAATCGAAAATAAACAGCTGTTGTAGCCATACCAACACTTACAGTAACACCTTGACTGATATTAGACCATCCAGGGTGATACCTAGGGTTATATTGTACACTGATCATGCATAACATTATGACCACCAGCAGGTGAAGTGAATAACACTGACTATCTGTTACAGTGGCACCTGTCAGTGTGGGTGGTATATTACGCTGCAAGTGAACATTCAGTCCTCAAAGTTGATGTGTTGGAAGCAGGAAAAACGGGCAAGTGTAAGGATCTGAGTGACTTTGGCAAGGGCCAAACTGTGATGGTGAGATGACTGGGTCAGAGCATCTCCCACGCTGCAGGTCTTGGTGGGTGTTCTTGGTCTGTAGTGGTTAGTACCTACCAACAGTGTCTGAGGAAGAACAATTGGTGAACTGGAGACAAGGTCATGGACGCCTACGGCTCACTGATGATGAGGTTGATCTACTGTAGATTAAACTTTTAACTTCCATTTGTACTTTTCAAAAGATTAAAATTTATTTGAATCTTTGTTAAAATGGTTAAATGAGAAACACTGTACACTGGCCTCTATGAAGAGAAAGAGTCATGGGCTGTAGTGTTATCACACCTAGAGCGGTGAGGCTGTTGGATTTGTCAAACATTCTCTCTAACCCGTCCTCACGACCACAGTTTTCACTCCTTTTACATAAGTTTTTCACTGAATTGTAGACACATCTGTGCTCTTCCTGACAGTAGAACTGTGGAAGCAGATGGATTCACAGAGGATGCACAGTGAGCTGCAGAGTGACACAAGTGGCAACCAACTGCCACATTGACTCCTATGTAAACAGTATTAGGCAGGTGGTCATAATGTTATGGCTGATTGGTGTATTGCCTGACTGTTGTTTAACTGATATTATGATGATTTACTAATATTAAACCTTCCAGGGTGATACTTAGGGTGGTATTATATCACCCGACTGTTGTTTAACCACAAACAGAACATTAATGTGAGTCTTACAGGCCCGGGATCCGTGCACTGCTCCAAGGTTTTTGCATCACAGTGAGTCTCAGCACTAGAACATTTGTATTGCATTACTTTAGAAAAAGGTCCAAGTTCTTTTTTTTTTTAAAGCTATTTACCAGTTACAGAAAATCCAAACCCCGATGGAGTCACCCAGTCCCTCCCCACTGAAGCAAGACCTCGACAACAACCGAGGAGGAAAGAGGAGTGGATAGAAGAATAAATTCATCTGAATCAGCCCTCGTCAGCATCAGGAACCGGTACAGATTATTTTCATTACTGATTCATTAGCATATTATCTGTTTGATCGATCAACTGGTCGTTTGGTCTCTGAAGTGTTTAAAAGATAAGAATATTCCCGTGTGATTCCATCACTCATCTGGCTTTGTCAAACCTGCAGAATTTGTCGGTTTTTCTTCCAAAAAATAAAAACCTCTAAACTAACTGATGATCTAAATAACTATAGATTATTGTGCTGTTTATCTGATCAATCTATTAATTAATGGTTCCGCCCTGGGCCCGGTTGTTTCCAGGAGTTCTCCGCAGTTCAGCAGTTTCACCCAGGCCTCAGATACCACTGCTTACAGAGAGTCGGCAGTGAAGACTTACTTTTCCTGGGACAGATCGTTGTCATAAGAACAACAAAAACAGTTTGAATGCTTCTGATGTTTGGGCCTGAGACAAACGGGGGCAGGTGTAGAACAGGTGTAACAGACCAGCAAGTGAGTCCTTGCAGCACCTGTGTGCCTGTGGTCTGGGAAAATTTTGCTGATGTGACGTCAGTGTAAGGGACTCCGGACGGGTCCGCCTCGAGCACTGGTAGTGAACCCAGTCTGTTCCCATCAGTAGTTTTCCTACATGGGTTTGATGATGAGGCTTGGCTGACATCAGAGAGGTGTTGATGATGAACCTGTGAGACAGAGATTTCTGAAACTGTAAAACTGAAATCTGGTTTCTTCAGTCAGGGTCTTGACTCCTGGAATAAAGTTTATTCTTGCCAAAATCAGATAAGAAGCTAAAATTAAATGTTTTTCTTTCAGTTTTTACCAGATGTCTCTGTTGTCAGAGATCGGATGTTTGAGATTGACTGTTTGATGTTCGGGCTAAAATAAAGCCTCTCTCCTTGTTTTACCCTTAAAGTTTATTGATGGCCATCAAAAGAAATTAAGAAAATATTTTTGAAAATATTTTCTAAAAGCAGTTTCCACACAGCAAAACAAATGTGAAGTAATACTCATTTTTTGTTTTTTCTATTCAAAGTTTTTAAACTGTATTGAAACTGTTTGTCAGAAAAAAAATATGACATGAGCCTGAAGAGAACTAATACCATTAGTGGAACAAGTACTCAGATACAGAAATAGGAGTAACAGTACCACAGAGAGAAGTAACCTGATTACTTACATTATTGTCATGTATCTTAATTGCGTGAACCCGTATGGGAGGTGCGATACGAAGAAAGGCAGACCGACTGATGGGACACGTAGACTATTCTCGCTATCAGTAGTATGGTACTAGTACCAGCAGTACTAGTACATGGCTCTAGGCCCTCCGCTCCACGAGGGGGTAGACTCCGGCTCCCTCCTCTTGGTGTGACCCGATGACCCGGAACAGGCCCGGGATGTTTTTCTTCCTGCTGGGCGATGAACGGAGCTCTGTCCCGGTATGTCTCTGGCTGAAACCCCGCAGTACTGCGGGCACCGGGCCCTGACTGAGTCTGTGTCGGAGCAGTTAAGGCGGGTCGGGGAGGAGGTTCTGGGTTTGCTGGAGAAGCGGAGCGGCGAATCCTCCGGAAGACGCCTACTCCACCTGCTCCGGCTGCTTCTCAACGAACGGCTGGCCGCAGCGGCGGAGCGGATCGTCGGGCTGCTGGAGCGGGAGGTAGAGGAGTACCGGGGGCAGCTGGAGCGGCAGAGCCGGCTGCTGGAGGTCGTGCTGAGTCCGGTGGTCCGATTGAACCGGACAGGTGAGTGCAAGCCCGCTCCCTCTTCTACAGACCGCCGCCATGTTGGCGGACTGTTGCTAGGTGACCAGAGGTAAGACAGGCTGAAGCTCACCTGAGGTAAGAAGGTAGCTGAGGTGTAGTGCCGAGAGACCTCTTATCAGCAGGTGTCACAGGTCGTTCCCATGGAAACGGGTGTGAGATATAACCAGAGGTGTAGTGCTGTTTGCTGAGGTTCAGGAGCGCACCTATGACACGCATATGTGCACGCGCCCGGTTAAGTGGCGGCTCGGTTTCAGGGCCGCGTGAAAACATTTCGGTGAAAAGTTTACTTACATTAGAGTTAGTGAAGTGTAACTGCCCACACGGTCACATATAATCACTTTACTCTCTGGTGCGGCAGAATCACGGCGAAGTAGCAGCTGTTTGAACGGGGTGAATGTTACAGCCATAGATAATCCTATTACTAGAGCGTAATGTCCACGGGGGAGTGGTGATTGGAGCAGACTTCAAAGGTGATGAGGAGGTGATGGGCAGGTTTGGTGTTAAGGGAAGGAACCTAGAAGGACAGATGGTGGTGGACTTTGCTAAGAGGATGGAATGGCTGTAGTTAAGACCTATTTCCAGAAGAGGGAGGAACATAGAGTAACATAAAAGTGGAGGTAGGAGTACACAGGTAGACTACATTCTGTGTAGATGAGGCAATCTGAGAGAGATTAGTGACTGCAAAGTGGTGGTAGGAGAGAGTGTAGCCAGACAGCATCAGATGGAGTCGGTCATGTCAGCAATAGAAACCTATAATACACACTTCCAGCCTTATTTCTCATTTTACAGTTATTTAAACTGAAAGCAGGTTCTCTGAAAACACACAATACATATCCTCTGTTCCTCTTTTTCGCTCCTCTTGCATTCCTGTGTCTGATACACACCCCCTCCCTTCCAGCATTGTCCTTGTACGTGCACACCTCAGTACATCATGTTAGTTGTGTTATATTCTAGCCACCTAAACTCCTGCTTCCATTCACTCCTACATTTCACTCCTACTCCAGCAGTGCCGACATCACAGCAGTGAACCACAGGGGGTCTGAGACATAGACTCTCATCCTCAGCAGAGCACTGATAAAGCTTGGTGGCCTTGGCGCGCCCATTGCTGGGGAAATATGGTTGCCACACAGCAATTCTTAGTCGCCGCAGGCCATCGGACCGTGGTTAGTGTCGAACCCTGTGTCAGAATCTAAAGTCACAGGTTCACGTGGAGGAGCAGGAACAACAGTTTCAGTTACAGAGATTTGAAGCTGGAATCATGTTTGCTGCTCAGGATGAACTGATTTATCTTCACTTTCACTTTTGCTTCCTTTCCTTTCAGATTCCATCAGCTCATCAATTCTCTGCTGTGATCAAAACCAGCCACCACGGTTTGAGGTTAACCCCGTCCCTACAGCTCCACCCAGCCCTGCCTCCTCAGACGCCTCTGCAGTTGACTGTGACAATGACTGGAGGAGAATTAACAAGTCCTCCTGCAACAAAGACAGAGACAGGATGGGACCAGTGGCAGGACTATGGTCCAGTGGTCGAAAACAGCAAGCAGCATCTCCCAACCGCCCGGCGACTCACCGCTGTATCGTCTGTAGAAAAACTTTCCGCCACAAAGGGAATTTGGTGAAACATGTGGAAACTCATTGTGACAACCAGGAATGTCTCTGTGGAGTGTGTGGGGAATGTCTTGAGTCCTCAGACGGTTTGTTGGACCATCTCAGGTCTCACAGAGAAACTGTCGGCAGTGGCGGGACATGTGAGATCTGTGGGAAGACATTTCAGAACATAGAGACGCACATGAGGAGTCACACAGGAGCCAAACCGTTCAGCTGTGACATCTGTGGGAAGAGCTTCCCTCGACCTGGAGCGCTGAGGAGGCACAAGAAAATCCACAGCAGGAAGACTGCCAATGAGTGCCCCATCTGTGAACAGACCTTCGCCCAGAACCAGCTGCTCCAGGATCACCTGAGGACCCACAAAAAGGATGAGGACAGTCAGTCAGAGAAACCAAAGAGTGATGAAAGGCAGGACTCTGGACTGAAGTCGTCTCAGTTAGCCTCGCTCTGCTGCAGAGTCTGCGGTGACTCCTTCCACAGCCGAGGCTTCCTGAGGAAACACGCTGAGACGCACTGCAGGGAGTCTCCGAGCATTTGTGGTGTCTGTGGACAGCAGGTGGACTCACCTGACAGTCTGCTGACTCACCTGCGGTCTCACAGAGAAACTAGCGGGACCTGCAGCATCTGCGAGAAGAGTTTCCAGAACATGGAGATGCACATGCGAAGCCACACTGGGATCAAACCATACCGCTGCAGCATCTGTAACAAACACTTCCCCCGACCAGGAGCGCTGAGGCGCCACAAGAAGATCCACAGCGGAGAGCGACCGTACACCTGCCAGCACTGTGGGAAGACCTTCATCGAGAGCAGTGCCTTGAAGACTCACAGCAGGAGTCACTTATGGGAGATCCACGAGGACAGGGACCCTGAGGCGTTGGCAGATTCTCAGAACCTGAAGTCTGAGACTGAGAACAGCAAGATGTCAATTCAGACATCTCACTGCTGCAAACTGTGTGGTGAATCCTTCCTGAGTAAAGGTGGTTTGAGGAAACATGCAAGTAACCACTCAGCAGAATCTGTCTGTGGCGTCTGTGGTGAAAGTTTACTACAGTCAGAGACTCTCACAGACCACCTGCAGACCCACAGGGACACCGGTAAAATCTGTCACGTCTGTGGCAAAGCCTACCAGAACATAGAGACTCACATGCGAAGTCACACTGGCATCAAACCATACTGCTGCAGTGTCTGTGGTAAAGCTTTCCCACGGCCTGGTGCTCTGCGGCGCCACAAGAGGACCCACAGTGGGCAGCGACCGTACATCTGTGAGTTCTGTGGGAAGACGTTTATGGATAACTGTGCTCTGACGACGCACATCAGGAACCACACCGGGAACAAACTGGCCCACCGTGTCTCCTGCGAGACCTGCGGGAAGAGCCTGGCATCGGTCCATGTCCTGGAGGTGCACAAAAGGATCCACACAGGCGAGAAGCCATTCCAGTGCCGCATCTGTGGGAAAGCATTCAGGCAGGTGGGAGGGCTGAACGCCCACATGCTGACCCACACTGGAGAGAAGCCATTCACCTGCAACCTCTGCTACAAGAGCTTCAGCACCAAAGGATACCTGGAGACTCACATCCGCTTCCACAAGGAGGAGCGAGCATTCAGCTGCCACCTTTGCTGGAAGGCCTTTGTCACCAAGAATGACCTGAAGAAACACTTGCTGACTCACACCGGAGAGAAACCCTACAGCTGCAGGGTCTGCGGCAAGAGCTACCAGGAGAAACGCTCCCGAGACATCCACATGAAAGTCCACCTGGATGTCCGGATCGGCAAAGAGCCCATCAGGAGGCAGGACGGTCTGCAGCCAGACTTCATACAGCTGTAAAGTGCAGATCAGTCGTCAGACTGGTTTTACTAACTGCTACACAGAAATGTGCTGTGGTGGTTCTTCTCTCATCAACAGTTTCTAAAATGAGGTCCAGTATCAAGCACAATAAAATAGTCAAATTTTCAAATATTTTAAAGAAATTGTATTTTCATATTTTTCAGTTTCAGAAAATAAACATGTTTTTCAGTGTTTACTGTGATGTTAAAAAAACAAAACTATTTCTTTTTAAAAAGTTTTTGCCTCAAAAAAAGGCAACATTTTGAAATCAACATGATGCCATAGTGCAGCCTGAATAAAATAAACTGATAAAAATAAATGTTTTTTTAAATTGAAAATCAAATCACACAGTAATATAAAGTGTTTGGTTTTCCCGGAGTCACTGAACACGTTTCTGTTGTCCTTCAAATGTTCGTACCTTCCTTGAATAAGTTCACTGACTCTCGCGTCCTTGAGATATTAAAATGGGTCCTTAATGAGTTCCCAGCATTCTTTAAATATTCTGGGAATCATTGAATGGTCTTTGATCAAATGAAGAAGTTCAAGAAACTTAATCCTGTGCTCTATGAAATGTTCCATGGATCCATAAACAAACTCATGATCAAGGCACTGCAGGGTGAGATGGGAAACACCTGGCTCCTGACGGATCTAAGAGCTCAACAACATGACCTTTTTTAGAAACTTCTCATTTGTTTCACTGGAGGAATCTAGATTGTTTTCTGAAGGTTTGCTCCAGAGTTGTTACTCTCATTGAAGGCTGAAACCATTATTTTACAGCCTGCACTCACAGTTCTACACTATTACTGTTGCGTGTGTCTCGGTGCCATGAACCAGGACATCTACTAACCCACAGACCCCGTTTGCTGGTGTGAGAAAGAAAATGTCTGCCAAGTGTGACATGGCAGGTTTTCCCCACCAGGTGTCGCTGCTGCGGTTCAGATAAATTGGGAACCATCACAGGTTTTAGTTTAATGCCCCAACCAGTAGCCATAGAACAAACATTACAGACCTCCCATTTGTGAGAAGCTTTCTCATCCCTGCTTCCAAACCCGCACAATACTCTCACCACATTATCAGGGTTTCTACAGAGCAAATCCTCGATTCAGAAATCATCAAACTTAGATCTTCCCCCTTTATCAATATCATTATCATTACAAAAAAAAAATCACTGTCCAAATTATATAAGATAATGTGCACCTGCAACCCAGCAATATCCATCCCTTCAAAAAACTGGGAACAAGACTCGCAGTTCATCCCTGATGCCAACTTCTGGCGCCAGAACTACAAAAGCACGTTCTCTGGGTCCACCAACACAACACACTGCTCATACAGGGCAAGACGGTTCACACAGCACAGTACACAGGGGAAACGATGGTTCAAACAGGCTTCGTGGATCCTAAGAATTGTTCACACTCACTGCAGACAAACCACCTGTAAACGTGACACACAGTACACGTGTAGTAAAAGTTCTAGTTGTGCAGTAAAGCACTTGTTAATACTGAGGCGCCATTCACACTGCGTGGCGTTATTAACAGTCCACCATAAATCTCCATGGTTCATTCCCCAAGTGTTCAGAAGAAGAACAGCAGGCGAGGGACAACCCGCCTCGCTGTGGACTGTGGAGGAGGACTGTCAGCCCTCTGAAGACCAGCCACCCTGAGAGACCAGGCCCACCCACGGCAACTGAGGGGACAAAGTAGTTCCGTGTGATGCTGCGAAACAGGTCAGAACAGAAAGCTGGATTTCAGCAGGTGGTGGGAAAGATTATTCATAAAAGCTTTTGACGAGGTGAAACAGTTTGTCAGATTGTCACTGAGTTTTGATAATGAATTTGCAGCTTACAGGCACAGATTGTGAAACGTGATGTAAAGTCAGATGAGCCGGTGACACCGGTTTGAGCGGTGGGAGGCAGCATAGGCCCTCAACGGACTGGTACGGTGTAGTGGTACACAGCCCTGTAAATGTGCCAGTGACCATGAAAGTCAGCTCTGACTTTTACCTTAAAATGACTTCTGTGCTGGTGGGTTTCTGTTAAGATGAAACTGATTTGTTGCCATTACTATGTATTATGTTTATTTTTATTTTTATGTTCTTTTATGAGCAGACTGTCAAGCGTGTGTGCTGCGTTCAAGTGCATTATTTACCATAAAACAAAAGAAGCAATGAAGAATGTTTTCATTTAGAGGAGATTTTTTTTGGAATGTGTGTGTAGGTGGGTGGTGGTCATTTCCAGGAAGAGGTACAAAGAGGGAGAGTTTGTGTTTGTGTGTCACTAAGTGATTTCCTGGTCGACTGGGTGTATCCTGTTAAAACACACTCAGTGAATTGTGTGTGTGTTGCCCATTAACTTTATGAGCCACACACACACGCTGAGTCTGATGTTGCACCTTTAGTTGTAATGTCAGTTCAGAACTTCATTGATAAATGCAAACATTTTGCAACATGTTCTGTCTGAATCTGAGACCGGATCCATTTCTGGACTCTCCCCCAGGATGATGTATATGCAACAGGATCCCTCAGGTTGGCATCAGTTTACTCAGCTATTCTGCAGATTCCAGCCTCTGGACTGTAGCAAAAATACATTTTACTTTTGTGTGGAAAATACAAACACACATTAGTTAGTTTTGTATTTACTGAAGGAAACTAGCATTCAAAGGAGAGTGAGTGGCACAGTGAGGAAGAATCAGGCTCAGCCTCATCAACAGTCACTACCGCTAGAGATCCGATCTACGACCGAGCTAACGGTTTTTAAATCTAGATTAAAAACGTATCTTTTTAAACAAGCTTTCGAGCTTTAATTTGTTTTATTTGCCGTTGAAGGGCATTGTGCACATGTTTTATATTTTATGATTATTGGGTTATGGTTTAGTAGTGCTCTGTCGGTTTTAGTATTGTTTTTAGTGTATAGTTATCATTATTTTGTGCAGCACTTTGGGCTCCCCGAGTTATAAAGTGCTATATAAATGATGTTTATTATTATTATTATTAACAGTCAGGAGTGAGAGAGCAGACACTACAATCATAATACAACATCATAACAACTGGACCAGAGTCAGTGTTAGAAAATGTTAACAGTTCGTGCGTCGTGATGGGTCCCTGGAGCAGGGGACGGTCAGGCCACATGAAGTCAGACGCTACCAAACATCTGTGTTAAGCAAAGCGCTCTGTGAATACTGTGTGAGGCATCGAGGGGCCGGCGGTTGCTGCTGGTCCACTGTCAGGCGTTAGAACATAGGAGGAGGCTGGGCTGAGACTCGCACACGCTGACCAGCCACAGCGCTGGGATACTGACCTATAGAGCTGCTGGGACCAGACGTGACAATAAAACCGTCTAAAACCGCTTTCGGTGAATGGGCAGCCATGAACAGAATGTTCACTCATCTTCATGCCACTGAAGGTTCTCACATGAAGGACTGCTGATGTTGTACCTTTTCAGAACTGACAGATGTCGCTGTCTGAGGTAGCACTGAATAAAAACCCACTGATCCTCATCTTGGTGCTGCACCACTATGCACTGTCATAGACTCTTTCACCAGGCTGAGAGCACGGCTGGAAATCACTTTGCTCCATTCAGTTCAAACAGTCGTCACCCACTGCAGTCACGGAGGTCGCATGACAGAATGTACACCTGGACAGGCTGCCAGTCTGTCACAGGGACGGTTTATCAAGGTTAGTCAAAAGTCATTTGGACTGGAGGCTGCAGGCATCTGTAGTTCACAACGTAGCTTCAGGAAACAGGATGGGAGGGGGAGAGCTAGGAGCAGTTTATGGTGTCACTGGACCCTCTGGGCTGAAGAGACATTAGCTAGTATCTTTAACTTTATAAGAAGTTTCTTAAGGTTTCAGCAGTTTTTAACCCCAAAATCAGAACCGCAGACTCTCCCTGTAAAAGTATGGCGGGCAGCGTAGTCAGGCAGAGTAGGTCAACTGTGTCTGATAAGTTGATGTGGAATGGCACTTTAACACAACCAGTTCATGTTTTATATGTATTTATATATGTCTGTGTGACATATAGCTGAGGGTCCCACAGCCACCAGGGGCCCCTTAGCCACCAGGGGCCACACAGCCACTGGAGGACCCCACAGCCACCAGGTGATCACAAACACACTGGAGGACCCCTCAGCCACAGGAGGATCCTCAACCACGCAGAACCTATTGCTATGATAAACGAGGCAGGGCTTGTCAATGTCCCTTTAAAGTCTGATTCGTTTTACTCTGAAATGTTGAACTAAACGATCAAAGCAGGACACAGAGGCGGGAGGAAGGGGCATGAGGCCATGCACGCGCAGGCGTGCACACACAGGGTAATTGAATTTTCCCGCTGTAGACGACACGCGCGTACACCCTCGTGCCTACTGCCCAAAAGGAAGAAAAGTGCGTGTGTGCGCGTGCCCGCCGTTGCCTCTCAGACCGGAGCCAGTGGACCTGGAACATTACTGGGACGTTGTTTCGTTTCTGTGGGTTTTTCTATAGTCACCGGGAGACTGGACCCGGGGCACAAGGACAGTGTCCGGGACGACAGTGAGACCGGATCCCGGTCCCGAACTTCTCTCGTTCAATTTGGTTCGTTGCTGTGGAAACACCCGCTTCTTGTTCTTTTCTGTGCTGCGGGAGACATGAAGCTGTGAGCGGGTAAAGATCCGGGACTTTGGTCTGAAACCACCTGATGAACGACAGAAGCACACGAACAGGTCAGAAACGCTAGCAACAGTCTGATGAGCGCTACACCGATTAATCAATTCATTGATCGCAAGACATTTGTCTGTCACCTGTATAAATAATCGGTAATTGATAACTGATCCCAATAATCGGATGACAAATGTCTCGTCAAACAGTTCTCAGGCAAATGCTTCACTGATTAATGAAGGTGGTGATCAGGAAATAAATCGATAATGACGAAAAATGATAGCACTAATCACTTTTCTGATCTGATCAATTATTGATCGTCAAACTGTTAATAATTGTGAAATATGACAAGATAATGTGATCAGCTTGTTCCCAAACGGGCCTTTTATTATCAGGTTCACTGATGAAGGGTGTTTCCTCACAAGGTGATTGTCAAACTACACAAAGTAGGAATAAACACAAACACCACACACATCAGAATCATAAGTAGAAATTAAAAATAAAAATATTGAAAGTGAAAAGGGCTGTACAGGGTTTAAATGACAGTCTCAAAAGATCATTTAAGTACATCACCTGCTTCATAAGTAAATCATAAATACTGTGGTTCTCCCCTCAGTACACACTGTACTGGGAACCAGTCTCACCTTCTAGCCTGGTTGTTGTGTGTCTGTTGTGTGTTATGTGTTGTAGAACACTGTGTGTCTTTAAGGTGCTCGCTTGTGCACCTTGCAGTCCTGACATGTTTAGTTGTGTTAATGTTTGAGTTTGTGTGTTTGTGGTCTGCAGCTGTTTCTCAGCCTTTTCATAAGACTGAAGGCTGCGTGCACGTACGCGCACACACACACACCAGGTTTAGGTATTGTGTTTGTTGACGATCTCCTTTGTGAAGAAGAGAAACACACTACGTTACTACAAGCTTAAAGCCCAGCTCTACTTTTCATCAAGTACTTTTTTTAACTTTTCATCTGTTCCGTTTACCATCACAATGCAGTCATGATATTTTTCATAACATCCATAGAAAGGTTATTTATTATTCATGTTACCACCACATCACTGCTGTAAACAAACAGTGTTGCACATACTGTAGCTTAATTTCTGTGGCCCCACAAACACACTCGGGGCCCATATGAGCATGTGGGCATGATGGCTTAGTTCCCAGAAATCTCAGCAGCTCCTGAAGGAGGTCGGTATTATGCTTTTTTTTAACATCTGGATGCTAGCTACAGGATGAAGCTGGAGCAGAGCATGGAGAATAATGTGCGTGATGTGTCGAGAGGCCTGAAACACATCTCGGGTCATGGTAAAAGTGGAGATGGTCACCAGGCTGCAGGGGACAAGGCCTGGGCAAATGAACTGAATCTGTTTTTTAATAGATTTGACTTTACCCAGTCCTCAACCCCCACCCTGCCAGCCCCCCAACTTACTTCTCCAGGTCAGTTGTCTACCTGCAGCCAGAGCTGCTCACACCTCAGCTAGACCTTGCCCCTCCTCCCACTGTCATGGTGGTTTCTCAACATCCCACAGCTCCTGAGCAGTCACCGCCCACCAGCCCCCTCCCCCTCACAGCAGACACGGTCAC